AACAGAGTCGGCAAGGCCAGCCCCTGCCCCCAAACCGAACTTTGCATCTGGCACTTTATGACTTTGCTGATTGGCAACTGAAAGACCTGGGAGAGGACAGGTTTTGCCTTGTGATAGCTGGGCCGTGGGGGATGGAACAGAGGGAGTAAGAGAAAGAAATGCCCATTTCTACCACCCTATGATCTTCATGGGCCTGAAAGAGACTCCAGGAGTCATCCATCTAGTCCCCAAGTTAACTCCTATGCCCTCCTCGATATTCAAATTAGCCACTTCAAGTCTTTCCTGAGACAACCTTATGCTTTATCTATAAAAGGAAGAGGTTGGACTAAATGATCTCTTAGGTCCCTCCTACCTCTGATATGCTATGAGTCTAGGCCAAAGAAAGAAAAGATGAGATGATTGTTGGGGAAAGCCCTCTGGAAAAACTGGGACTTGAGGGGCAGGGAAGAACAGGAGAGGTAGAAAGCAGGACAAAAGGTATTCCAGGCAAAGGGGAAGGATATAGAGCTTCGGATGTTAGAGGGTAGAATAGAGCTTAGCATTAAGGTCACTGACACCTCCCTCCACTGTCCTCCCCATCCCTGCCCCCCAAATCATACAGATGGGGAAACAGAAGCCTAGGTGGGAAAGGATCCTGATTCAACTGGAACACAAGATGATAGGGTTTAGACCTGGAAGGCACTTCAGAGGCCATTTAGCCCAGCTCTCACCTTTTCCAAATGAGGAAACTGAGGTCCATAGACATTTAGTGACTCATCCAAGGTCTTATCCAATGGACAGCTGGCAGTGCAGTGGATAGAGTACCAGTCTTAGAATCAGGAAGACTCATCTTTGTGAATTCAAATCTAGCCTCAGACACTTACTAGCTGTGTGACCCTGGGCAAGTCACTTCACCTTGTTTGCCTCAGTTTCCTCATCTGTAAAATGAGCTGGAGAAGGAAATGGCAAACCACTCCAGTATCTTTGCCAAGAAATGCCCAACTGGGGTCACAAAGAGTCAGACACAACTGAACCACAACAAAATCCACGGTCACTCAGGGATTTCAACCTAAGCTCTTTGTCTCCAAAGCCAGCATGCCTTCCACTGTGATAGGCAGCTTCCCTCGTACCCAACGTGCTTGAAAGGAGAGAGTGAAACCCCTTTCAGGAACCAAGCTGTACCTTCTGCCCAGGGGCCTTTGAGAGGAGTCTTATCTTCTCCTTGGAGGGTAGCTGGGTTAAAGTAGAGAAAGCCTGCCCCACCACCACACTCCCTCAGTGCTGGCCACTGGGTCTTCATTCAGTGTGAGCAAGCCTTACCCTTGTGTCTTGAGGAGGGCTGACCTGAGGCTCAAAGATGTGGGGTGTGAAGCCAGGGAGAGCAGTTTGGAGATTGACCAGATCCCTGGGGAGGGTAGGCCTCACCCTCCCTCACCCAGTCACTTGCTGGCGTGTTTTTGCCATTGGCTCTGTGTGTATATGTGTACACATACACACACATACACACACACACATATATTGGCTCAATTTTTTGGAGCTATTAAAAGAGCTAGTTGGTGAGGAGCAAATTGGTGGGGACAAAGAGAACCTAACTCCAATCACCCAGCAGGCTCTGGAGATACCAATATAAAGAATGACAATCCCTACTCTCAAGAAATTTACGTTGGAATAGGGCAGACATTGAAAACAGATTGAACACAGATTGTTCCAAATCCTCAATGCAGCTATAGGCTTCAACCTTCTTTCAACATTGATCTTTTCCCAAAATTTGTGGTGGGGAGGGGGAAGGTCTTGAGTTTAGGAGTTTTGGCAGTAGAGTGGAGGATGCCAGATTGGAAGCTGGAGAACCCAGATTCTTGATCTAGATCTTACCACCTATGTAAACCAGAACAGGTTATTTTTTTTTTGTTCTGATCTTTAGTTTTAAAGTGAGGAGGTTAGACTCTATGCACTGTCTAGTCTCTTCTAAGCATACATTCTACAAACAAGATACAAACTGGATTGTCAGCCCTCACCACAATAAAATCAAGAGCTGGCCAGAGGGTTCCTGTCCATGAACCAGAGTCCTTTACAAAACTGTCCACCCTCAGTCATTCGGAACACACACAAACACACCATGACCCCGCCTTCCATGCATTGCCAACCCTACAGGATCAGGGCCAATTGAAATCACCCTCCAGGAGGCACTGGCTCCACCTGGCAAGTCGCCAACTCAGTAAAAGAGGAAAAAACCACAGGTCCATGAGAACAGGGATGTTTGCTTTCTCAACTACTGGCCAGACTTTCCTAAAGCTACACATTCCACCTTGGATTTAGAATGGGAGGACCTGGGTTCAAATTCCACCTCTGCCATTTACTACCTATGTAACATTGGGCAAGTCACATATGCCCTTCTCTGGGCCTCAGTTTCTCCATCTGTAAAATGATGAGGCTGGAACAATTAGGGGTTGTCAACTTGGGGTCTGTGAACTTGTTTTTAATATTTTGAAATCTATATTTTGACATAATTGATTTCTTTTGTAATCCTCTGCCCTTTATGAATTTTAAAAATTATTCTAAGACGTATTAGGCATTACCAGAGTACCAAAAGGATCCATGACACAAAAACATGTTAAGAGTCCTTGGTTTAGATGGTTCTTAATTCCTATGACAGCACCTACCTTGCAGGGTTATTGGAAGGATCAAATGAGATAGTATTTGTAAAACACTTAGCATGGTGCCTGGCACCTAGTAGGTGCTATATAAATGCTGGTTCCCTTCCCCTACACAATGGCACATGCTCTACCTGCCTCCATGGTAGAGTGCCAACAGACTCCATTCCTTGTGTCCTCCAGAAGGGTCCAGATCTCTTCAGATGCTTTCGGGCTTCTCTCTGACTGCCTTCCTCTCTGATGCCACCAGTCTCCTGGACCGTCCATTCCCAAACATCTACCCCCATCCCATCCCTTGCAGCCCAGGTGAGCTTAAGGAACTCATCAGATTCCTTCCTCTGAGTCTTAATAATGTTATCATCATCTTTATCAACAACAAAAACACAACAAGGACACAGTACAAGGTTTCTAAAGATCAGAAAATGGAGCTTCAGAAGGGAGTGGGGCAGCCAGGGGCACACGGTTAGCATTGATTGAATCCAGGACGTGGATCCACTCTTCCAACTCCAAGTTCAGTGTGTTCCTTCTACCCCCCCCCCCTGCCCCCCAACTACACTTCTGAGGATGACAGTCTATGCTGAAGAGAGAGAAATAAGAGGTAAACATTCAGTGATAACGACTGCCTACCCCCTGGTTATTAGTGAAATGGAAAGTGCCCTGAAATGAGAGGCAGGGGACCCAAGTTGGAATAGGGACTCTGCTACTTACTACTGGTGTGAACTTGCACAAGTCATGTCCCTTTTCTGAGCCTCAGTTTCCTCTTTAGCAGCTCTAAATTCAATGATCCCTCTTCCGGAAACTGGGGGAGGGAACAAGTATAGAAGGATGCAGCCAGATCAGATTGTCTTTATTTCTTCCTCTTTCCCAGCGGCTCTGAACTAAGTCCTCAATGATGTTTTTCTTGATGTATGACAAAGCCTCCTTAAACTGGCCGAATCTTTACCCCAACCAGCGGGTGTAAATTAAACCCCTTCTGACCCTCACCTATACAACAAACAAACCTACAAAGTTTAGAGTTAGAATAAACCAGTTAGCCTAACCCTCTTATTTTATAGTTAGGGAAACTAAGGCACAGAATGGTGAAGCAATTTGCTTGAGGTCACCACCAAGGTAGTCGGTAGCGGAGCTGACTCCGAGTGCTCTTTGGTGCACCCGGCTGTGTCTCCTTGGGGGAAAGGAGGCACGGAAAGGAAGAGAATCCAACATCAGTCTCTTCTGCTCTGACAACTATCCCTTTTCACTTCACCCCACCACCTGCATGGAATATGGGAGTTCTTTTGGAGAGGAGGAGAGTTGATGGGAGAAATATCAGAGTTAGCATTTTCAAACATGGTTCATTCTTCCATTGGGGCTACAGGGCTCTCCCTGCCTCATCCCCAACTCACTCTATTAGATGCTGAGCTAGAAGGGAGTTGGTGGAGGAAGGGTAAAGCCAGTAAAAATACTCAGCTGGTGCTTCGTCTCTTCACATTCTTCTCTTCCCACCCCCCACCCCCAAATACACACACATACTGAACTAAGGAAGCCTCAGGAAAGACAATGGATTTGGAGTCGGGAGTAGGAGTTAAATACTGGCTCATTTACTCTGACTTCGGGCAAGTTACCCTATGAGCCTCGGTTTCTCCTCAGAAAAGCCATCTCTAAAGGTCCCTTCCAACTATAAATCTGTAATCTGAAGAATGGTCACAGAGCATGGAAGATGTGTAAAGAGATGAACTCTTAGTTGGCCGATTTAGGCATGAGAAGAAGACCTAAGCCTAGGGGCATGGGGACCCAGCCCCGAGAAAGTGAAGGGAACAGCTTTTGGCACTTGGGGGTGATGGGATCCGGTTGGGATCACTGGCTTCTGGATCTACTTGTCCCGTTCCCCCGACTGCGGGACAGTAGTCTGGGAAAAGTCACTGTAGTTCCTCCTCAATGACATACCACTCAGGGAAGAAGGAATGAGGAAAAGCCACGGCGAGATAGATACAGGTTGGGGGGGAACAAGGGGAATGACAGACGGGTGAAGGAGCATCGGGTACAGGGGGCAGAAGCGGTGGAAAACAAAGCGGAAAGCAGAAAGAAGGTCCAAGGAAGGGGCCGGGGGTGTGGCAGACGGAGAAGGACAGGAAGGAAGACCTTCGGGGGTGGAGGGCAGACACACGGAAGGGGGGCAGTGACACAAGGGAAGCCCCCGGGAGGAGCTGCACTGAGGTGCAGCGGGGGTTGCGGACAAAGAGGAAGCCCCGTGGGAGCGGAGTCGGGCGGCAGACACAGGGAAGTGTTACCAGAGAAGCCGCGGAGAGGGATTTGGCAGACGGGGGAGGGACTACGGGGAAGCCCCAGGGCGGTGAGGAGAGATGAGGACCGCAGGCGCTGGTCACTTACCACGGGACCGAGGAGGGCGCAGACCCACAGGCACTTGAGGGTCGCCTCCATGGGGCCGGGAGCCCCTGCTCGTCTCTGCCCAACTTGGCTGCCGAGTGAGTCTGAACCTGGGCTTGCCGGGGAGATGAAGCAGAGGTTCCTCTGGGCACTCTCGCCTCCTCCCGGGCTGCGCCTCTGGCCAGGGGAGGCAGAAGTGAGCCGATCGGGACGCAGACGGTTTTAAGGCTTCTCCAATCTCGCTCCTCCGTCCTCCTCCCCCAGCTCTTCAGAGTGGGAGGACCCAAATGGGGGCTCGCCTGACGAACAGAGCGGTCGGCCAATGGACTGTCGGAGTTGCGGGACTCCAGCCAATGGCCAGGGAGCGGGTGGGGCCTCCCTCTGGCAGGTGCTGAGTGGGCAGGGCTCCCGCTCCGCCAAGGAAGGGACTGGGACCCCGGGATGGAGAAAGGGGGAGTTGAGAAGGCCAACGGAAGAATGGAGAGCGAAGGCTTCACTGGTGCCTCTCACCAGTAGCGGTCCTTCAGCCCCGCGGCCAGACCAGCTTTCTTCCCAAGAGCTGCCCCAGGGCACGGTTGCTCCTGCTCCCCAGCCCACCTTGGCCACTGGAAGGGATCTTGGAACTCAGAACATGCAGTAGATGATCAGAATTGAGAACCCTCCCCTAAGCTAAGGTTCCCAAATGACCCCAGACTGGACCCAATCTCTGACTCCCGACCCTGCTACCTTTTGCTGAGACCCAGTCTGCTAACCTGCTGTAGAAACCACGGGACCGGGGTGGTGGGCGAATATCCTTTAACATCCAGCACAGATGTCACCAGGAATCTAACCTCAGTTATATGGAAATCGCTGAGAGACAAATTTCAGGATGGAATAGGAGAAAATATGTCCGAAAAAGGAATGGGACAGGTAGTGAGCTCCCCATCACTAAAGGTTTTCAAGGGGATGCTGAATGACCAATTGATGAGAGTCACTGTAGAAGAGATCTCTGCTGTAGGAAAGGTTGGAATAGATTACCTCTGACATCTCTTTATTCTGTTGAGATTCTGTGATTTTGTGATCCTAACACAGGACCCTATCCTCTATATCTGTGGCCCCTCTCTTTGATTGGATGGCTTCTTCCAGAACCTCCCTTTAAGGGAGAGCACCCAGCCTTGCCTTGTCCCATTCCTTCGTTGTCCCCTTCCCCACCCCCAACTCTTTTCAAATGAGATAATATTTGTGAAGCACTTAGCACGGTGCTTGGCACCTCATCCATGCTTGATAAATGCCTATTACCTCCCCCCCCACCCCCCACCCCAAGTATCTGGTGTGCAGTAATTTCAGCACCTGGCCTGGAGTCAGGAAGACTCATTTTCCTGAGTTCAAATCCAGCCTCAGATACTGATTAGCTGTGTGACCCTCTGCAAGTCACTTAACCCTATTTGCCTCAGTTTCCTCATCTGTAAAATGAGCTGGAGAAGGAAATGCCAAACCACTCGAGTATCTTTGCCAAGAAAACCCCAAATGGGGTCACAAAGAGTCAGACAGGACTGAAGAACAACCCCCCCCCCCCCAGCTTCCTTGTACTGTTGGCTTCTTCCATTAGAATGTAAGCTCTCTGAGGGTAGGGACTGTCTTTCTATGGATATTAGTATTCCCAGTGCTTAGCACAGTGCCTGGCACATTGTTTAATCCTTGCTACTGCTGCTGCTTATCCCTCGTTTCCGAAGAAGACCAAGACTTCAGGGAGGTGATGTGACTGTGCAAGCGAATTGGATTTAAGTGAGGGAGGGCTGTGCAAATGTTAGTTGATTGACTGACTGGGACAAACAGACCCCTTGGTTCCTCTACCTCCTTATTGCCTGCTGAAATTTGGCCACAGATTCTGGCCAGCCAGCCCTGGCCACTGCCATCCCCTCACCTTGATGGGACCCCCAACATAACCCCCACCAGACAAAATAAGCCCTATCTCCTTTTTCCCTGCCAGGAAGGAGCAACACAGTGAGTGGAAAGATGAGAGATGGCAGAAGACAGGATTTCTTTAACCAAGAGTCTTAAGTCTTTTACCAGCAAAAGGTAAAAGGAGACTTGATTAGAAAACTGTATTCTGATAAAGCTTTGGCTACAGCCATCTCTGATCAGATTGAATGCAATGCCTTTTCTCGCTGCAGCCCTGGGGAGCCCCCTGTAATTTTATTGACTTCATTAAGAGAGAGATTGGTAAGGGCTTGAAGCCAGGAGGGACTGGCTGGGGAGGACAGCAAGCTGGACCCAAACAGGAAACAGACTGTCAGTAGCTGCCAGGGACTGCAGAGAACATCAGGTCCAAACCCCTGTTTTACAGAGGAGGATATTGAGGCCCAGGGAGGGGACAGGGCTGGCCCCAAGGTCACTAAGCAAGTCCATGGCATGGCTAGGACTTAACCCCAGATCTGCTGACAGTCAGACCAGGGCTCTGTTCATCTTCATCACCACAGCTTATATTTACATGGCGCTTTTAGGTTTTCAAAGTGTTTCACTTATATTATCTTTATTTTATAAATGAAGTAACTGAGGAGGATCAGAGGTTAAATGACTTGTCCAGCATCACCAAATGTCTGTGGCAGGATTCAAACCCAAGTCTTCCTGGCTCCAAGTCTCTAGCTCTATCGTTACACAGGGCAGCCTTACTGGTCTAGGAGTCAGAATAGCTGGGAGCAAACCCTAAATCTAACACTTACTGTGAGGTCACTTCCCTTCTCTGTCAAGTACAGTTTGATGGATCTATGATCTCACGTGGGTGGGAACTCTCAAAGGTCTATGACTTAGGAGATAGGGTGTTACCAGAGGCATAAAATGATCTGTCCGGGGACACAAATTGGTGGTGTGGTTAAGAGGTGGTATTGGATCCTAGATTTTTCTGACTCATAAGCATTCTGGCTACCTCCACAAGCCAATTCACTTGAAGGTATTAATGACCCATAAGGGAACCTGCTCCCTACATTGTAGGAGGATTTATACTTCAAAGGTTTTCGTTCAGTTGTGTCTGACTGTGTGAACCCCTGGAGTTTTCTTGGCAAAGAGACTGGAGTGGTTTGCTGTATCTTTCTCCAGTGGATTAAGGCAAACAGAAGTTAAGTGACTTGCCCAGGGTCACACAACTGGTGAGTTTCTAAGGCTGGATTTGAACTCAGGCCTTCCTGCCTCCAGGCTCAATGCTCTGTCCACTGAACCACCTAGCTGCCTCTTTAAAGGTGGTTGTTGTTCAGGCGTGTCCAACTCTTCATGACCCCATTTGGGGTTTTCTTTGCAAAGATCCTGGAGTAGTTTACCATTTCCTTCTCCAGCTCGTTTTACAGATGAGGAAACTGAGGCAAACCAGGTTAAGTGACTTGCCCCGGGTCACACAAGTGGTAAGTGTCTGAGGCCCAGTTTGAACTCAGGTCTTTCTAACTCTATGCCCGGTGATCTTATCCACTGCGACAGCTAGCTGCCCTCTTTAAAGGTGCAAACTCTTTAAATTAAAGGACCGACCCTTTAATCCTGGGACTTCAGCATTGGGCTAACAGATGGAGAAGGCATTTGGGAGATGGAGGTTGAGGTCTTCTCCAATCCCTTGAAATCACAAGTGGTTAGCTGTTTGTTTGTTTGTTTGTTTGTTTGTTTGTTTGTTTTTCTCTGTCCAGGATTGGTCCTAAGATAGACAGAGGTGTTTCCCTATTATCTTACTCAGACTCAAAGATCTGCATTCAAATCCTAACCCTGCCTGTTACTAGCTGTGCAACTGGGTGGACAAATCACAAAACCTCACTGAACCCCATTCCATCTGTGTTGATATTGTAAAAGGAGTACTAATTATACTAAGAGCAAAGCAGCCTGGGTTCAAGTCCTGGTTTTAATATTCACTAGCCATATGACCTTGAGGCTAATCACTTACTATCTAAGCCTCAGTTTCCTTCTCTGTAAAATGGGGGGAGGCTAATACTTGCACTACCTACACTACATCACAGGGATATTATGAAGATCTATTGAGTTAATAAATGTAAAGGAAGCAGTAAAGCATCATATAAATGTCAGCTGCTGCTATTATTATGGTAACCCAAGTTTAGCATCCTCCAGTTCCCAGCCTCTCACTTCTGCTTTGAGAGAGCTGGCTGTCTAGGGAGAGCTAGTGGGTGTGAGAACACGAAGCTTGCTTTCTCTTGAATGTTCTGCGCCTCCTTTTGCCTGGGGAAGGGGGGGGACACTCTTCTTGAGCTTCAGGCTCCCCCTTGCCGGAAGGAGACTTCTGTTGATTTCAAGGGGGGAAGGTCTCAACCTCCACCTTGACATTCATGTCCTCAATAAAGAATTTCCATTTACAGAGCAGTGAAACACTTTATAAATATGATCTCATTGGACCATCCCAAGAGCCCTGGGAGGTAGATAATATAGGCGTTATTATTCCTATTTGATGGATGAGGACACTAAAGCTGATCATTTAATGGTGTGTTATTATCTCCAATTTATAGGTAGGGGAGCTGAAGCTAAGAAGGGAAGTGACTTACCCAAGATCACATAGCCAATTAGTAGCAGGGTCAGGACTCCAAGTCAGCTAGGTCAAGGACCTTCTTAAACAGTGCTCCAGTTCGTCCTTTCCCACTGTCTTACCTTCCCTAGTCCCAACTCTGCCATCGACTATGTGACCCTCGGCAATTCTCTTAACCCAGGGGTGGGAAACCAGCAGCCTCGAGGCCATGTGTGGCCCTCTAGGTCCTCAAGTGCAGCTGATTCCGTCAAAGGGCTGCTCTTGAAGACCTAGAGAGTCATACATAGCTTTGAGGCTGCAGGGTCCCCACCCCTGCAACCCTTCTGGGAGAGATTAGTCAGTCAAACATTTTTTAAGCACCTACTATGTACAGGGCACTGGGGATACAAAAAAGGGCAAAAAACAGTCCCTGCAGTCATGGAGCTCAAGGCTAATGAAAGGAGACAATATGAAACAACTATGTACGAAGAAGCTATACATGGGAAAAATTGGAAATAATCAACAGAGGGAATTCTAGAATGAAGGAGGATGGGAAAAGGCTTCCAGTAGAAGTGGACATTTTAGCGGACTCTTGAAGGAAAAATAGCACCTCTTTCTATATCACTTTAAAGTTTGCGAAGTGCTTTTTGCACAAGAAAGGTAAGTGCTTGCCTTCCTGGAAGGAAGGTAAATCTCAGGATTCTTGCCCGTTTTTATGGATAGGGAAACTGAGGCCTTTTGTTGGTGAGTCATTCTTTCAGTCATGTCCAACTCTTC